TTTTTAACTCTTTAGTTTGTCTTTGACATGTTTCTAGCCTGTTTTTGTTTTGTGAACGCTGTGTATGAAATCACCTTTAGATGTCAGCTATGAATCTAAATGAAAACTTAACTAAGTCCATGATTGACCGAGGCTCTGGTAGATCAAGGGTTTTATTAAGGCTCTGAACTGAGCATTAAAAGCAGACTGTACAAGCCCTAACACTAGGAGAAAAAACGGTAGTTCTCCATGCTTGGTCGACAATCTGGCTGTCATAATTGGTCGTAGCACTGGAGCCAGAACGCAGTCACACATGAAGTTTTCAAAACAAAACCTTATTATAAAAAGGCAAAAACAAAATTCTGATGTGACGGCAAAAAAACTTACAAAAACAACTGGATGAGATAATCCAGAGTAAACAAAACTAAACCAGATTTAAAAATCACAAAACAACTAGAGAAATTGCATTTCCTGCAAAAATACAATGTGAATGCTTCGAAGAACTGCGAAACAGCTGAAATTAGCTAAAAAACATGCTGAAATGTAGTTGCAATGGAAGAACATGCCTAAATTAGCACAAGAAAGCAGAAAGTACACATATTTGCTTACATGGGTTGAAATAAGCAGAAATTAGCACAAAAATGAGGAAATTGGCAAAAAAAAGCTGTATTACAGGTGTAAAACCAAAATTATTATTACATCATTTAGCAGAATTATTACAGGTGAATTCAAAATCCTACACCTCTCAGGCCTCAGTACATTATCTTTTTGTTTGTTTAAATATATGAGTTTTTATTTATTTAAATTTTAACCTCAATTCAGTCAACACTTCTTACCAGTTGGTGGCAATAATGCACCACATTGGTGTTTACCAACCAGAATTAAAAAAAACCAAAGAAGAAGAATGACGAGAGGAAAGAACTGCGCATGCGCTGTGTCTTCCTGAGTTAAAAAAAAACAGGCGAAGAAGAAGAAGCTGAGCCTCTTCCGTGCTTTGTTTGCTACATGCGGGATTCTCGTTTGTTTTGTGCTTCACAGCGCTTATAGCTAACCGTGCACGTAGGAATATTCACATTCACAGCATCATGAGTACTTTATGGATGGGCAATGTGAGTTTACAACTGTTTACTGTCTCAGTCATTACTAGTCTCGACCGTACCGAGCAGCTAACACAACACAGAAACTACACATGTGGTTTGTGTACTGTGTGTTTATCTGATGGAGTTTGTGTTGGGGTATATTTGTTATGGCGGGTATTTCATGTGGTGTAACATTGATAAAGGCAGTTTATGTGGGGTATGTTTGAAAGGTGTAGTACTGTAGTACAGTAGGTGTAGTTTTACTTTTGTGGTTGTAACGCTGTCTAAAGTTGGTCCACAGAGTTTTCAGAAGACCCTCTGGGGGAAATTATTATCAGAAGCGGATTTTATTCCAACCTAACTGTTTGTTTCTAATAACAAACACTAATTAAAAGTATTATGTGAAAGAATGCATATTGCCCGCCGTCTTTCATGTCAGAGTTTCAAACTGTGCTCAGCTACTACCAACGCACTAAATCACTAGTTGTTACATTGACTGAGTTAGACCTCTTCTCAGTTTCTGACATCAGCTGGCTGTGGGTCATGACATGTTTTGCTGTCAGGGAATCAGAACACAGTCATGGGCAAAACATTTTTATTTTCACCTTTGCTCAAAAATAAACCCATGACGGTAACAGCAGAGACTCCTGAATTACTCCTGATGTGCCCTCTCCTGCAGCTGGATGCCTACATGGACGAGAAGTTCATCACCAGAGCATTTTCCACGATGGGGGAGGAGGTTTCGAACGTGCGCATCATTCGAAATAAGATGACGGGGTAAGAGCTGGATCTTTGAGCAGCTGGAGGGTCTGCGCTGCTTTTATTGTGATGTTTAACAGTGTGTCCGCTCCCAGGGGGGCTATGGGTTACTGCTTCGTGGAGATGCCCGACGAGGCCACAGCTGAGAGGTGTCTACGCAAAATCAACGGCAAATCTTTACCAGGGGCCAGTCCGGTACAGACTGCATTTGTTGTTTACTTATTTTTCTGTCTTCTGTCGAATGAACTCTTCAAAACTTTGAACGTGAACGTCTCTTTCTCGTAGCCTACAAGATTTAAGTTGAACCGAGCCACCTTTGGGAAACAGGAAACTGGGTGAGTCCAAACAGAGACGCAGAACATTTCACGGCTGGACAGAATGCATTTTCTGTAAAGATGCAGTGTGACAGCTGAAGCAACAAAAATGAGTTGTTAAAGTTAAAATAAGGGGAACAGCAGCTAAAAGAACTAAAGAAGCTAAAAATGGCAGAACGGCAGCTAAAATGAGCAAAACAGTGCAAGTAGCAAAATGAAAGTTAAAAGTAGCACTCTGACAAGGTTGAGTCAGGTCCTCTGGATGGATTCTTCTTTGCCGAGACGTTTTGTCTTTTATCCAAAAGACTTAAAAGTAGCAAGAAAACAAACTTCTTCGGCTGATCCCTTTTTCAGGGGTACAAACTCGCATGAAGGATTTGGCAATTGTTTTACACAGAATGCTCTTCCTGACGCAACCTGGGCTCAAACCCACAATCTCAGGATTAAAAGACCATGGCACTGACCACTGCGCCACCCCAGCTATTAGTCAAAATTGGCAAGAACAGTAGCTAAAAATAGGGAAAGAGTAGCTAAAAGGTGGAACTAGCCAAAAGCTAGAAAAAAGTTAAGAAAAAACCGACATCACTGGAAGTTTGTCAGACAGACGTGGGGAAACCCAGACCTCTTTGGACCTGAGTAGTGGAGGACGTCATCACAGTTTACACAGCATTCAAAAGAATAAACGTGTCACAGAGAGCTGGACGTGGTGTATCCCTCTGAGTATTAACTAACCTCTCACTAATTCACTCCCACAAACAGGTTTTTAATGGGCACCAGTGGGTTGTTAAACACTCACTGGTTGTCTCATGATGCTGTTCGTAAACGTCCAGCTACTGTAAAGCGGTGTCTCCACTCTGTCCCTGCAGTTTGGCCGTTTTCAAATCGGTCACAAAGAGCGCGCCACTGTTTCTGACAGACTCCTCCGTGCACAGTGATTTTTGAGTTATTTGCCATTTGACCATCTTTATTGTTCTCCATCACAAAGCAACGGGGGGTGGGGGGTGGGGTTGAAATACCAGCAGGTGGGGGGTGTAGCACGTTGCATTATTCCTTTTTTTAATTCACTTCATCTTTATTTAAGCTTTATTTCAAGCTCCAACAGGCACTTGTAGGCAAAATGATAAAATATAAAAGTCAATAACAAACAAGGAAACACAAATTACATTAACAACAGTTCATTGTCAAAGTTAAACGACAACGTTACAAAGCATGAAACCATTTGGAAGTGTCTTTAAACACGACTGTGACACCATATTTAAACGGGGACATGTGAGGTCCGACCCAAAGTTTTTGAAGCAGATTCCAGTCAGATGGAGCAGCTGAGTCAAAGCCAGACTTGGTCTTTAGAGTTG